CATTAGATGTAGGTGAGTGGTCAGCTTCATGCTCACGCCTTTTCATCGCCGTGGAAATAGCTCATGTGCCCACTGGACAGGAAATTCTCTGGTAGCTTTGGAGTAGAGAAAAATATATTACCCTTGCCGGGAATCGAAACCTAGCCTTCCATTTCGTAACCTGCCGCTATACTGACTAAGCTAGCCCGACTCCTTGACCTACTCAAAGGCATTGATTAAAATTAGGAAAACTGATGCCAAGATAGTTTGTTGTAACCGTATTACGATTAGATGTTTCTTTCCGTCACATAATAATAATGAATAATTGCTGCTTGTTTTCATTAGGCCGCTAGATTCCTCACTACGGAACATAGCAGGACTTATTATATTTGAGCATCCTGTTACACTCGCACAATATATATAAGATAAACACCGTCTTAAGTGTAACAATTTAATTTAGTTCTTTCTTCTTTCCCCTCACTCCACACTACATGTTTCGGCCCTAAATGGCCATCATCAGGTGTGTATTCTTACGTAGCTGTTACACTGCCTGTTAAAATTTAAAAACTAGATAAATACAATAAAAGTGGCATATACCAAATGAAATGTGTAGATTGCCCATTGAAATACATTGAACAAACGGGGCGAACATTTAGCACTAGATATAAAGAACATATACATGATATTAGAAATAATAATAGCAATTCCGGGTACTCAAATCACATACTAAATACAGGACATGCATACGGAACAATAACAGACATAATGGAAGTTATAACAACAGGAAAGAAAGGTAGACATTTGAATACATTAGAGAAATACCATATATATAAAATAAGTAAGAAGGGCGTACGCATGAATGATACACACATAGAAACATACAATCCCATATTTCAAACTATATACGAAATCTATACAGACTAACGGTACCTCCCTCCCCCCACTATCCATTCCCCCTCCAACACTCACTAACATAAAACACAGTACACAATACACCAGACAGCACACGTATTAAAGATAAGCAGCGACACTCACAGAGAGAGCCTACACAGAGTAAGTACAAATAACCTGCAAAGTGAAGGACATATGCTTAAGGCTCCAATTCCGTCTATGCTGCATTTCAAATAGTTCAAGAGCTTATAAGAGTACTTCCATATAATTAACCTCTATTTTAAATTGTTTTTCCTTAAACGAACAGCTCTGGAGGTAAACAGCCCGATGTATAAACACGAATACATTCAGACTTTTCAGAACGTCGAGGCTTTCACCTTACCACAGTGCACTAAACTAGGACACAGATATTTTACAAAATTTTCTAGGTGTATCTTTGAAACAGGTCACCATAAAAGCGTTAGGTATAAATTTACAGTGTCCATCAAATTGAAATGTCGGTATTTTCTAACGTGTCAAATATTGACTCCTTCTAAAAGAAAGTATACATATACATACATATATCACCATTAGCCCCGTCAGAGAGTTTCAAACACCTGCGCTGAATGGCGATAATGATTTTCCCAACACAGAAATTGGTACCGTCACCAGACCTGAATTGTTGAAGACAGTGGGATTCAGAGAAGCCAAGACGAAACAGTTCTTTAGTGCAGTCACCTAGCACAAATTTTCGAAAAACTGGTTAATTCGTGTTAAATGAATCAGCAGACAGACAGAAATTTAAACACGCGAAGCCTGTTGATGGGGGTTCTAAAAGTGGAACTCTCGTTCTTATAAATTCTAAATATGTAATTATATAATTAGAAAATTTCAACGAATTAAATAAATCTGTCTTTGCGTCAATTGTCTAAAATGAAATTTCTTATTAGTGTAGTTACAAGAAATAACGAAAATAGCGCTTTATGACGTTACATATGGAATTATATTCACATTAAGGGTGCCTGTAATTACTACAACCCTCCCACTGTTTCTGACAGGTAAATACGAGAAAAATGTATGGAAGAAGACCCAAGGTTTATATGAGAAGTTCCATAAAAAACGAAAAAGGATTATAATTAAAGTAAAGTAGGTCATAAAGACAATAAATCCGCAGCGTTGTAAGCACACGTATAACATCGGCGGTGACAGACTGGTGTAAGACCAATCCCTTCGAAACCAGTTTTGAAAGACAAACTCGTCTAGCAGGCTTACCATAAGTCCAGTTTGATTATCATTGGTTTATATACCACATACATGTTACGACACTATTATTATTATTATTATTATTATTATTGTTGTTGTTGTTGTTGTTGTTGTTGTCGTCGTCGTCGTCGGACACGGTAGCCGAACGGCCTTCGCTCTCTCGGAAACCGGGATCATGGTTTCGAATCCCGAACAAAGCATGGATGCTTGGTATGTATTTTTTTAATGCTAGTGGAGTGAGACTAAGTCCCTTGTACTGCGGCCACTTCTGGCCTATTTTACCAGCACCAGATGATAGGTGAGGGTGATTGTGGAGCAATTGGTGGAATGAAGATTGGCAGGGGAAACCGAAGTACTCGGAGAAAACCTGCCCCAGGGTCACTTTGTCTACCACAAATCCCACTTGACCAGACCCGGGATCGAACCCGGGCAGCCGCGGTGGGAAACCAGCGACTAACCGCTTGAGCTATGGTGCGGCCCTGCACAGATCATTACTGCTACAACAAACTGCTCGGGATTATGGTTAATATTATATTACTATTGTTCTTACTGTTATTGTTCAGCCGAGATAGCCTAATCAATCACGAAACCAGCTGCTTCCTGCTTCTCTGATTTTCCACGAGATTTTTCGCGATTCTGTCCCCCCTCCACTTCCAGCTTGTTACACTGCCATTACGCTCCTTGATTGAATTACCGTAACCATCTTATGTAAAGGGGCTCGGATAGCTTGATCAGAAAAATAACCGGAGAAGGGTTGGAGAGGTGAGATAGGGTGTGAATTTTCTCCTCACCTCTTACGTCCAGAAAAGATGTGGTTTCCACCCAGCTTTCCGTATGATCGATACTATGATCTCTTTGATCTGGAGTGAAAATACCGAATAGTAAATCTACCATTCGACTATATCCAGTTCTGGAGTTAACCATGTGTTGCAGCTTAAGTAACACAAACCCCTTAACGTCGTGATGCTTGAACGTCATTACGTTCGTACATTATGAACGCAAATCAAGACGTGTGTTTTCAGATCCTCAGAGCATTAAGACTATTGTCTTCTGCCATGCGACGATACGTAATTTTGTAGCTGGATGCAAAGGTTTCGGATGAAGGTGCTGCCTCCGTCTTCAGGTTAGAAGATACGAACAGCAGGTTCCTCCGAGGAGCTGATGTACGGGTACATCTATCAAACTGCACAGTGTCATACCATAGGAACGTAATCTTGAAGAAGCGAGTTGCTCCAATTCACATTTCGGTTCTCATAGTCACAAATATCGCATTTATATGCCCTTAGTAGGCATAAAAACATTGATTGGGGATTCCAGCGAAATAAAAATCACATTATTATATGTAGTGCCTATCTCTCCGTAATTTTAGCTGCTTATTATTTATCTTTGAACTGAGGATATATAAAAAATAGTTCAATAAAAAAACAACTGACTATGGACTCTCGAAAACAGTGTTTTTTTTTCTTGGTCCCTACTTACAGATCGCCTCTGAGATCTTTCACTTTGTCTCCCCGCGGATAAGGCGGCCAGAGCGTGATGGTGACCATTCACCTCCATCTAATATCTAGGTCCAGATTCTTTGGAGCTTTGCCTACATAAATCCTACACATCTTCGTGGCATGATGCTTGGACATAGGGGTAACTTTACCTGCTCTGAGTCTCAGCGTGTCCCAAGATTGGAGACTAGTGGTCTCACACCACTGACCTTGAAAATATAGTCCTGTCCTTTTTTAGCGATCATCAGGTAGTAGAGACGTCACAAGACAGACCGGTTGCCTAAATAAGCCTCTTTTCTTGTCTGGAAGTTTCGGCTGGGTTTTAGATTGAGAAAATAAGCTTAGCTGTTAGCCCCCTTCTAGGCGACAGTGTGAAACAGGACACTAACGTATTATACGTGTTGCTCGCTTGTGCCATGGTTTCTCTTACACGCTTTGAAACATAAGGACCTACCTGGTCAGTAATTCTCCCTTCTCGGGCGAACGCACGGTTCGATTTAGCATTTCGTTTCGTCGTACTTTTCTGATTCTTCTGTTGCTCCCTGTCCTCCCCTTTCACTTCCTCCGTAGTCTTATCTTCGTCAACGTCATTACTGACACAGTTTTTAGCCTATGTTCCTTAATTTGAAAAAAAAAATGAAAATAGTTTTATGCGATCTCCATGCTGTGTGTCTGTCAATCCGCCCTTAATAATTTTTTAAAGGCTGAACCAATCTTTATGAAACTTGAAGAAAGCAGTCTTCTGGGATTTGGCACCGTGTATATGTGGTGTTAACCGACGTTTCGGAGGAACGTATCGCCCCCATCTTCAGGGTTGAAGAAAAAGTNCTTCCAATCAGTCTGTCTCTCTCTATGTGTATCCTTCCTGTCGTTGTTAGGCAAAGGTTCATTAAAGTGTATCCCTAATTTTGTTGCCAAGCAACTGCTCGGTAAACGCGTAAGAAGATAAAGCTATCCCTGTAACAGGCAGTGGAGGCCCATAGGGTTGTGAGACATTGAGGGTCCCACATTATCTAGATTCTAGACAATCGTCTCACAGATGGCGGTAAAGTTGCCAGCCTTAAGCGCCGGGGGCCCTTTACTCCCCAGGAAGATTCCTGGTACTCATTTTTGTTAGAGGCTTAATCGACCCCAGGGCCACAGTGCGGCTGGAAGGATTAGGTCAACTGAAAAAATCCACCTCATCTGGACTCGAACCCGGGACCTTCCGGCTTGTAGCATAGTGCTCCCAGGTCAAAGAATACACATAACAATAACAGAACTGTTGGACACTAGTGTCTGTGAGTCTGTCTGTGTATTCTGCTATTGCTGGTGTGTAACAACTCAGTAAAGAACCAGTTGCACCCCCTGCTCCTTACCTCCTTTCCGCTCTTTACTGCTCCGGACACTGCGGCAGCAGTGATGCTTTCATGACATCACGACCGGTCACGGCGGTTATGTTGTCCGCCAATAGCACTGAGTTTACCATTCTGTTCTGTGATTCCGACGCTCATGGCGCTCATGGCATTCCTGCAGTCAGTCGATTTCGGCCATTTCAGCGGTGGGAGCTGAAGGAATTCGGTCGAAGATGTTATTTTGTTGGGAGAGCGTGTAGAGCGCACAGCTTGTCATTGAATGGGCCGTTGTGGTGTGTCTGGCTCGTAATGAATTAGCAGGTAGACTTGATGTAATTAATTACTGAATCAGGTTTCGATCTGTTATCGTTGTCCCCAAATATCTGAACTGTGCCACATTTTCAAAACATCTGTTTCCTACCTTTATGTCATGATCTTGCCCTGCAGTTTAGTGACGAGACAGTAACATATAATAAGTTTTCTCTGTGTTTACTTCTAAACCAGCCTCTTTACTTGCGTCAATTAAAGTCTGTATGACACCTCCTCCAAAGCCAGCGGTGACATAACACCTTCGGAGCGTTGCCGTTGCTACGGTAATAGGCCTGTCAACACCCTGCCCCCTTCCGTGGTGACGTGACCAAGGGATGACGCGGTTGCTATGCACCAGTAAACAACTCCCGACAGCGTTGCTAGGCTATCGGTAAACAGGGCGTCAGGCAACAATGCTACCTATCACGTAACTGTTTTCTGTCTTGTCCGTGACGAGGCTAAATAAGGGGTAGCGAACACTATTCAGAGCAGTTAGCAGCGAGTAGTGAGTGATTAGTTAATGAGTGGTGAGTATTGAGCCAGTAACTAGAGAAAGAGTAACCAGTTAATTTCAGTCTAGTATTCGTGATACTGCTGATTGCAGTAATTGTGAGATTGTAAGAGCGAATGTGCAATAAATTCGCTCTATCGGGTACGGCCTGAAGTAATCTGTCGCGTTATACACCCAATACGTGATGACAGTATCTACATTATCACCCGGTAGGTTCACATCATCGGCACAGACCAGCAGCTGATGTGTCCCGTTTAATTTCAGTTCCACCTGGTTTCCCCTCTCATTCTCTAAAGTAAAGTTGAAAAGGAGTGGCGATAAAGCATCTCCTTGTTTTAGACCATTCTGTATACGAAATTTGTCAGACAGATGTTTACCTATACAGACTTTACTATACGTTTCGTTTAAACACATTTTAATCAACCTAACTAGTTTCATGGGTATCCCAAGCTCTATTAGAATATTGTACAATACTTCCTTCATAACTGAATCATAGGCTTTCTTGAAGTCTATGAATAGCTGATGTACTGTCTCATCGTACTCCCATTTTTTTCAATATCTGACGAATGCAAAAGATCTGATCTGTAGTTGATCTGTTACGTCGAAACCCACACTGATGATCCCCAATAATTTCATCTATATATGGACTTAACCTTGAAGGAAGAATATTGGACAAAATGTTATATGAAGTTGATAGCAGTGATATCCCCCGATAATTACTACAGTCAGTTTCATCACCCTTCTTGTGAACTGGTACAATTATAGACTCATTCCACAGATCAGATAATTTTTCCTTACGCCAAATAGAAGTAATTAGATTGTGGAACTTAGAACGTAATATTTTTCCTCCTGCTTGAATAAGTTATGCCGAAATCTGACCACTACCTGGCGATTTATACAGTTTCAATTTTGCAACAGCACTTTCAACCTCGAAAGGGCTAGGGTCAGGTATTAACGGCTCAGCTGTATGGATTTCTGTCTGCCTAACAGCACTGACCCTATGTACATTCAATAAATGAGAGAAGTAGTTCGGCGAAACCGAAGTACTCGGAGAAAACCCGCCCTGCGCCACTTTGTCCACCACAAATTCCATTTGACCAGACCCGGGATCGCACCCAGGCAGCCGCGGTGGGAAGCCAGCGATTAACCGCTTGAGTTATGTTATGTTTCTTTTATTGCTAGTGGGGTGGGACAAACTGCCTTGTACTGCGGCCACTTCTGGCCTACTGTACCAGCCCCAGATGATAGGTGAGGGTGATTGTGGGGCAATTTGTGGAATGGAGATTGGCAGGGGAAACCGAAGTACTCGGAGAAAATCAGCCCCAGCGCCACTTTGTCCGCCACAAATCCCACTTGACCAGACCCGGGATCGAACCCGGGCCGCCGCGACGGGAAGCCAGCGGCTAACCGCTTGAGCTATGGCGCGGCCTTTTATGGTAGGTTACTATGACACCTAATAAGAACGACAATCAAGTTACAATGAAACCGACACAATTTGTCGCACTGTAACAATGCCAATTACGTTGCTATAAAACAGATTATAAGAATAACAATCACGTTGCGAAGAAACCGACACAATTTTTCGCACTGTAACAACGACAATTACGTTGCTATAAAACAGATTATAAGAATAACAATCACGTTGCGAAGAAACCGACACAATTTGTCGCACTGTAACAACGACAATTACGTTTCTATGAAACAGACACAATTTGTGACATTGTTGTTAAACCCACAATATTTGTCGAGTCGTTTCTGTTAATACAGTTTTGTTCCGTCTTTAGTGCGCTGAAGAGAGGTACTGTGAAGGAATTTGATTAAATACAAAAAAATTCAACCATATAATGAGCAGAATGTCACAAAACGAGGAAAGTCGAGGGAGTGACTTAATCCCGCCTGGAAGAGAAGACTCAAAACAAATGGTAACTATAAGTATATTAATTATTCTCAAAATATTTTGTAGAACTGAACAAATCTCACCTTACAATAAAATGGGACTTCACCATCAGTGTATACCTATATAATTTATTCCCTTGCTATTTATAAAATACTATTACGTATTTCTGGCATAAAATGATAATTTTCGGGGGCTAAACTAGATAAATAAATAAATTCAATATACTCAGATCAATATCGACAATGAACACTTTACATGGTGACCTGAATTGAATCTCATATGACGTGTGTATCCGTGAATGAATCAAAAGTGGCATTACAGGAATCCATATTTGTCACTAGATTTCCAATTCGTTTCGTTGTCATTGGGCTGTGGCTGGAATTATTGAACGTGGTTTACTCTTAAACCCTGAAGATGATGGCAAAATTGTTCCTGCGAAACGTCTGTTCACTTTAGTCCGCTACGTGGCATAACATTATATTTTGTTGACTCGTACTGTTCGTTGTGGACTGCAACGCAGGCCAGACTGCCGCTGAATCTGCTCTGGATTTGCTGAATTTGATATCCTTACGTTGGTGACTATGAATACTGAAGTTGTCTGGATTGTAATGTCATGTCATTTGTGCAAAAGCCCATTGTATCACGGTAACATAACCTCCATCTTCAGTCTTGAAGAGTGAGCCAAGTAAGAAACCAACAGAAGAAGGCGTCATACAAAAATACAGTGTTTCCTCCAACTTCGAACACAATCCGTTCCGGAAAACGGTTGGACTATCAAGTTGTTCGAAATTCGAATTCATATAAATATCACTCCGTGACAAAACACTTGCCAACTTGTTCCTTAGAAAAGATCCACATGTCACCATTATTATGTTTTAATTAGATGATAATGAATCTCTAAATTGCTTTGTCCACACATCACCACAACTGCACCACTAATATGTTAATATGAAATTCTGCTTTATTACAGTTGGTCGAAGAATTTATGATGGTTACCGGAACAATTAAGGCCATTGCAGCTGCTCTGAAAACACGTAAGCTGAGGTGAGCTGCTTCTTTATTTATAGCTGTGTGGCTTAAATGAGCTTTCATTCAAAGCAAATTAAAACCTTTTGTGTACTCACTCACCCTTGGAGATGAGCTCTTCTTGAGAAGCCACAAATTGTGCAGCTTCTCAAGAACTACCAGCAATTTATGGAACCGGGAGGTTCATTACCGTATTCAAAAGAGCTCTGCACTGGTCCCTTTCCTAAGCCACATCAATCCAATCCATAACATCCCCATNCTTAATAGTATCCATTCACCTATGTCTTGGCTTTCCTAGTGGTCTCTTTCCTTCTGGCTTTCCCACCAATATCCTATATTAGTGTTCCTCAACCTTTTTAAGCCCAAGGACCAGTAAAATGTCTGAAAAAATCTACGGACCACTAAGTTACAGAAGTCTATTTTTTTAAAACATATGTGGTATTACCAACATTTGGGACATTCATTCATTCATTCATTCATTAATCTGTAATCTATCAAGACGACTGGTCCACAGTCTCTTCCAAAACAGTTCCTTCACCTGATGCGATTAAGAGCTTTCTCCTTCAAATTAAAATATCCTCTTCTGTCCCCAAGGTCATCCAGCATCTTCTTACGTCTTCTTCCTCGTCTTCTTGTCACTTCTATCCGCCCATCTATCTTTCCTTCGATAGCTTCTTTTAGAAGGCAGTTTCTGCGTAAAACATGACCAATCCAATTAGCCTTCCGTTTTCTTATTTCATGTAGGATATNGTTTTTGGTCTATCTTTATTGTGACTGGGGTTGGTTGTCTCGAAATTTTCATTACTTTTGTTTTTTCCACATTCATTTCCATGCCATATCATCTTCCAATTTCAATTAGTCTATCAATCATACCCTGTGGCACAGTTTCTTCCTTAGCCATTAACACAAGGTCATCTGCATATTTCACAGTTTGAATAATTTGCCGTCCTAATTTGAAGTCTCCAAGCCCGTCCAGAGCTTCTTTGGTAAGGCATTCGCTGTACAAGTTGAACAAAATTGGTGATAAACAGCATCCTTGTCGAACTCCTCTTCCAATCTGCACACTTCTTGTCTCCCCTCTGTCCAGTCGCATTCTAACTTTCTGATCCATGTACAATTTGCTAAGCAATCTTCTTTCGCGCCAATAGATACCTGTTTCCTTCAGGATCTGCATTAATTTGGTTTTGAATACATATGGAAACATAATGTTGTGCCGCAGGGGGGGGGGTTACCTCACCTCTCCCCTGGGGTCACCAGTGGGTATCTCTTGCCGGATCAGGAACAGGACGGGTGCAAGGGTATTGGTTCCCACAACCTCCTCGAGTATACAAACAGCTTCAATATAGAAATATATTATGTGGAAATATAGAAAATAAATGGTTACACACTGATACAATGCCTACATGGCGCCATCGTCACCTACCCTAATACATGTAATCCTAACTCCAACCCTACAGTTACACATGGCAGGCGTTAAGGACTCTTTGGCTCCTCTAGCCGTGCTGGTACGTGTGATTAAGCCCACACACCAGTGGTGGTGTTGGGTCCGATGTCCCACTCGCTACTCGATCAGACCGAGGGCCGTGGCCGCCTCGCCTCTGTCTGGCGTGTCCCGCCTGAGCGTAGTGTTACACCGGGCTCCTGCCTACACACGTCCACTCTCCTACTTACTACTTCCTATTCTATGTTACACTTAAATTAACTGACCTGAGTAAATACCTAAGTACGATACAGCCTTAGGCTGTGCGACTGTGACCGTGACCGACCATTGGCAAGTACTTACATGCCCCGTCTAGTGGACTGCCACTATGACTTCATCCTCCTCCGTTATTTCGGTGGTGCGCCTCGCACCCTTGCGGAGTCGTGCCCTGAAGGCTCAGTATGTTCTGCGGACGGCGTTAGGCGACAAGCGTCCAGCTCTAGCGCGCGCGTCCCCGCCCCTTGTTCCAGGGTTCTTATACCGTCTGGTAACGTGGGCGCTCTTCCGTCCTTTTGGACGCGCTGGGAATCGTGGATTCCCATTGGTTAAATTCCCTTCTGCCCTAGCAACTTGCCCGTATATGATTCTTCCAGTATCATGGGGAGCGGCTGACTAACGGAAATTATTAATCATGAATCACAGGAAACAGGAGCGGTCTCTGTTTCCGTAGTTGACTTCATCTTTCTGGCTCAATCAAAATTTCATGTTTCTTTCATTAATAAAATAATTTAAAATATCAAAATCAATTCCCGAAAGGGTCTGGGCACAACAATAACTAAATAGACTGGAAGTAAACTATTTAAAGTGAATCATCATTGAACAAAATTTTAATCTTTATTAAATAAATAAAGAATACGATATATTTATATTACCACTTACTTTTAATGAGATTGTTGAGCGTGTCGGCCCTTAAGGGTTCCTGGATATGTGGCTCAATATTGATCAACTTCAGTCGAAGATCGGCACTCACACTAAGGCGATTTCTGTATTTCGGTTTCAACTGAAGTAGCGATGAAAATCCTTTTTCATAAAGATAAGTTGTTGAAAACTGCATGGCGATTTTCAATGCTTCTTCAGATAATTCGGGAAATTAACTTCTCACTGAAGATCCAGAATCGGACCACACCAAGATCACGGAATTGTATTTTAAGCCCACTGTCACTTGAAAGCTCAACGTACTGTTCTTTTTTCGATAACGAAAGATCGTTCTCATGATTGTAGACCTGAAATGGATCGCGAACACACAGAAAACTCTCATAAAAGTTTTTCGGAAAATATGTTTCAAATTTCTGTTCCAACATATCCCTTCCCCCTAGATTTACAAAGGTTATTTGGAAAGTAAAGATAAAAAGCCCGGAAAATATATTTAAAGCATTTTGGGGGAAGGATTAACTTGTAGGCTTTATTTACTTTTCAACATAGTCACCATGGATCACAGTGCTCTTAGTGAGCCTAGGATCGAGTTCTTTAATTCCAGCGTCGTAGAAATCTCATACCTGCTCTCTTAGCCATGTCATCACTGAGTCTTGAATCCCACCATTGTACGAAAAAGTCTTTCCAACCAGACGTTCCTTCAATTTAAAGAACAAGTGATAGTCGCTTGGTGCAAGGTGTAAGACTCCTCGCGTCAGCATTCCTCTCCGCTTGTTTCGA